GTATAAATCAAATTTGAGTTCTATAATTTGCTGCAAAGTAATTCAGGGGTGGGGGTGGTAATGTGACATGGATATAGTTGAAATGAGATTGGCCATGTGTTGATAACTCTTGGAGCTGATTGATAGGTACACAGTGATTCATGATTGTATTCTCTCTACTTTTATATATGTTTGTAATTTTCAAAAATAAAATGCTTTTTTTAAATACCGAGGCATTCTTAACATTTTTTGGTAATGGCAGGTTGAATATTTCAAGGCCAACCCTTCTAGTGAGAACACCAAGAAAAGATTAGAAAAATACACGTGTGTACGCACATAAACACACACACACATACACTTCAAGGTAATGAGGTAATTTCAGGGACAAGGCCTCAGGGAAGAAGGAAGTCCAGGGGGGTGAACTCCACACTTGGGGTTGATTTTCCCCTAGATGTGTCTTCCAAATTCAGGGAAGTGGCTGAGAGGTGAAGAAGCTGAGCAGTTTTGGGCAAACTCAAAGGCCTAGGGGAAAAAAAAATTGGGTGTGGGTACAGGGCCCACCAAGGAAGGGGTGAGGTTTGAACCCCAAAGGGCTATATCCTATGAAATTAAAAGATTGATAATATCAAGTGTTGGTAGGCATGTATATAATACAGCCAGTTTGGATATTGCTGTGGATTGATTGAATTGTGTCCAGTAAAGTCCATATATTAGAAGCTTAATTCCCACCATAATTGTTGAGGGTGGGAAATCCTCTTACGGTCATTGAAAGGTGGGGCCTTGAAGAGGTGATTAGGTTGTAGGACCATGCTATAGTGAAAAGATTAATAATGGTGGTCATGGGCATGGTTCTGAGGGCTTTAAAAGGAGAGCACATGAGAGTCTCTCTTTCTGCTCTGCCATTTCTGCCTTGTGAGACCCGTGGGTCACTGTCGCCACCACCAAGACCCTCTCCAGATGTTTTCCATGGACTTTGGACTTCCCAGCCTCTGCAACTGTAAGCAATAAATTTTGTTTTCTGTATAAATCACGCAGTTTCAGGTATTTATGTTATAAGCAACAGAAACAGACTAATACAGATATCTTTAGGCATGTTTTATGCATATCTTTTTTGTATTCATTTATATATGTAGGAGAAATGAGTGGATGTGTCCACATGAATACTGGTAGGAGAATGTTCATTCTTTATTCATAACATCCAAAACTTGGAAACAACCCAAATATTCATCAATAGAGAATAGATGAAGAAACAGTGACACATTCATACAGTGGAACAGTAGTCTGCCATTCAAAGAAGAGCAACTAACAGAGATGAATCTTAAAACAACCTGCTGAGTGGGAAGCCAGACACAGAAGTGTACCTCAAGGGAGGAGGGCAATGGATCAGCCAGGAAGGGACATGGAGAGGAAGGATTCAAAGGCAATGGCAATACTGTTGTTCTGTTTTAAACAGGTGTATGCCATGTTAAATTTTGTCCTCTACATGAATGTTAGAAATGTTTTTTGCACATAGTGAATATTTAACATTATTAAAACACTGAAGTCTACAGACTGATTTCAAATAAGTTTGTATTGAAATCAATTTTAAAAGGTTATAATTTAGCTTCAAAACCCCCCAAAAAATAAAAAGGAAGAAACCATCTGTGTCTGACATCAGCCCCAACATCCTTAACCAAGATATGAAAAGAGAACGGCCTTACCTGGCACCTCAGTGAAGCCTCCAAATATGTGACCTCATCCAGTAACTTCAGCAGCTCCTGAAACTGACCATCCTGGTACTCAAAGCGCTCCCCAAAGGTGATAGAGCAAATGATATTGGAAACCGCATTGTTGATCGTGAAGTGAGGGTCAAAAGGCTGTCCTGGAGGTGGAGGAAGAAAAACATGAATTCTTCCAGTTGGTTTGCTTCTATTTCCTACTGAGGGTCTACTCCATATGACTTAAGGCATACCTAGTACAGAACCATATGTGAGGCTCTGGCCGCAGCACCCTACACTCAGTCTGACATACACAGTCAGTGCCAGGGAAGTCAAACCACTGACGAGGGTTTAAATTCAGTAATATGTTTAATGCCCATCTTCATGTGCTTAATTCTAGAACTTCTTGAGAGCAGGATGGTGGTTATTTGTTCACTCTCCTATCCCCAGTGCCTAGCTCAGTGCTTGGCACAGGACAAGCACTAGGCACTTAAGTATCTGTTCAATGAATGAATGGGCCACAATTTCCTACCCCTGTCCTATGAAATGCTCACCATTCTCCTCTTCTATTGCCTCAGTGAGGTGGCGGGCCTCTTCCTGAATGCGTTCTTCTAAGCTCTTCTTTCCTAAACCAAAGTTCTTTAGTGTTGTCAGGGCGAACCTTCTTTGCTCTTTCCATACCTGGCCATTGGACATGATCAGTCCTGGGAAAAAGAAAGCCAACATTATGGTATTCCAATTCTATGATGTGAATATCTGACAAATGATACGGGGATGTGTATCAGATGGAGGGAATGAGAAGGGCATTAAGGCACTTAAAAACTGTCCAGAGAAATGATCCCAAAGCACTGGACATAACAGTTAACATTGACTGATTGCTTACGATGTCAGGCACTTTAAGTATTTCTTATACGTTATGTAATTTAGTACTCACAGAAACTCCCTGCACTAGGTACAATTAATACCCTTTCCCCTATTTTACTGGTGAGAAAATAGAGGAATAGAAGAAAAAGGGTAAACTTCTCAAGGTCACACAATTAGTAAGCAGCTAATCAGGCATTCAAATTCAGGTCTGCCTGATTCCAAAGCCCATGCTTTGATTATTAGTCACACAAGTGTAGTTAAATATTTATGTTATGCTGAGTACCAGGAATGCACTCATGGATAAGACAAAGTCCATACTCTTACAGAGGCGAACAAAAGGTTTTTAGGAGAGGTCCTACTTAAGCTGGACCTTCAAAGATGAAAGAATGACTCAAGAAAGCAAGGAGAAGTGAATGTTCCGTACAGAGAGAACAGCACAGGGAAAAGAAAAAAACATCTTGGTGTGTTCAACAGACCATCATTTGTCTCATAACACAGATAATGCCATGCTCTTTTCCATTTCTTCACTTCTAGATCATGCTCCACTCCTTTGAATATCTGGCTTTGGTCTCCACCATCCAGTGAAATGGCCCTCCTTGTTGTCAGATTCCGGGACACCATTCAACCTCATCTTACGTGATCTTTCAGCAGCATTAAACATTCCTTTCTTAAAACACTCCCAGTGGTGACAAGGATAGTACACTCTCCAGATTTTCTTCCTAATTCTCTGCTAACAACTTCCCATATCTTTTGTTGGTTCATCTTCTATCAAATCTTGAAATGGTGGAGTGCTTCAAGATGAAGTCTAAACACCTCTTCTCTTCTCACCTTATACTCCATTTCTGGAAAATCTCATTAACTCCCCAAATTTTAAATAACATCTATTGATAGTGACCATCTATTTCTGTCCCTGAGCCCCAGACCTAACTGCTCACTTGACTTCGCTGACTTAAAGGCATTTCAAACTCAGCATATCCATGATTGAATTCACGATTTTCTCCATACAGCTCCCCACCCAAGCCAAACCAAACCAAACATCTTGTCCTCCTCTCAGTGTCCCTTCTTTCCATCCTCTACCTATTCAGGTGTCACCTCAACACTTCATTCTCCCTACCTCTAGGCCATCCTGTCTTATTAGGCTTACCTCCTGAATATCTTGAATCCATGTATCTTCACTGTCACTATCCTGATCTAATCTATTGTCATTTCTTGCCACCTGCCTAGCCCAAGCTACCACCTACTCTAATTTAAAATGCTACAAAATTGTCTTGCTCTATTCATCCCATTCTCTGCACAGCAGCCTAAATGAGTCTTAAAAATGTGCAGTGTAAATGTGATACATTTTTCTATGTAAAACCATTCAAGAGTTTTCATTGTTACTAGTATGAAAACCAAAATCCTTTAAGATCTTACATGAACTGTTCCTGGCCAACTTCAGTAGCTTTGATAAAATAACAGATTTGAGATTTTCATTTTAATTTTTAAATGTTGAAGTTTAATTAATGATAATTTTAATTATTTGTGCCAACCTGTCCTAACATAGGCTGGAAGGCTCGAGATACCCTGTGTGGCTTGGCCTTAGTGATAGAGCAGAAAGAACTAGAGGCAAGAAGCAGCAGCAGCAGAAGGAAGCAGACCCACATCAATTTTCCTAAGGGAAGAGGTCTGGAATGGGAAAGAAGAGAGAGGGAACACAATGCCTCTTCCTCTGCTATAACTGGTCCGTGTGGCTGCTTCATTATCAAAGCATTAAGAGCAAGTTTGTTCAAGACTTGTGTCTTCTCTAAGATCTCTATCAGGGCTGACCCTGCCAAATCCTCCATGGGGGTGCCTTCAATCGGGAAATGTGGCCACCCAGCTTCCTTTAATGGCAGGCATTTTATAATGAGGCTGGTTTCTGGGAGTGTTGGAAAATTATAGTCATGGAGGCACCTTTAACAGGTCATAAGAATATCAATCTCACACCTTACATTGGTCAAGAAACTTACCATTTTTCTGAAAGACGTGTTTTCTGATAGGGGTCATGGGACGATTCACAAAGTTTTGGTCCATATGGAGAAGAGCTTCTTTGATTAGGGGCAATCCAGTTATAATAACTGAAGACAAGTCACCAAACTCTAGGCTAACAAGGTTCCCATATTTCTTCACAAACTGAAAAATAGTAAAATAGTTACAGTTGAACATGCAAATATATGTGTGTCCAGGAATGGAGGGTGTGTGTATGTAGCTGGAGGGGCTCATATAGGGGACTCTGTGCATGCGTGTGTGTGTGTGTGTGTGTGTGTGTGTGTGTGTGTGTGTGTGTGTACACCTTGGTCTGATGGGTATGTTTCTGTCTCCTTTCTCCTCCTCTCAACTAGCTGAGATTCAATTCATTTCTGGATGTGGAAGTTTCCTCATAAAACAACCATTCGTGTATTCAACCAACATGAATTGAGAGAGCATCCGCCAAGTATCAGTACAGAGAGGCCTAGGACATAACTGTAATAAAATAAACAAGGTCTCTAACCTCAAGCATCCTAGAGTCTAGTGAAAGTCTAGGGAGAGAATTTCGTACATCTGACATTGCAAAACAGGCTGAGATACGTTTAGCGTAAATCTGGCATAGCAAGCATGGACCTCTTAGTAAATTATAATATCTGCTTAACGAAAAGAGGATGACCCCTTCCTAGAGAGGACATAAATAAGAGAAACACATACTAGATATTAGAAAGTGCATTACGGGGTGGTGGCCAGGTATGGAGTAAAGCCTTCTAGCTCTGGAGTTGTATGAGAACCTCAGCTCTACAGTTCGTTAGCTGTGGACTCTTGGGGAAGCTGCTTCACTATCTGAGCCTCAGCTCCCCAGCTATAAAAGAGAGAAATTATTTCTCCCTCAAAGAATTCTGTGCAGAAGAATGAGAGCACCAATGTGAAGGGCACTTTGTTTTCCGGTTCTGGGCACACAGCCACCCAGTGAGTCTCCTAGGAACAAAGGAGCTCTGTGTGCAAAGGGATGTGGATGCGTTCATGGAGCCCCAGAGGACATGCACACACTGATGTGGGGGAGGGAGGTGCTTGTGGTCACAGACAGCCACATTCACTGGGCGCCCTTCTAAGCACCTTGCATGTCTTATCTCACTTAATCTCACAATCACCCTGTGGTGGTCATGATTTTCCTCCTTGCAGTGGATTGAATGGTCCACCAGTCATTGAAGCTTAATCCCCACTGTAACTGTTGAGGGTGAGAATTCTGTGATGGTCATTGAAAGGTAGGGCCTCAAAGAGGTGATTAGATTGTGAGGACTGTACCCTTGTGAATGAACTAATAATGGTGGTCATGGGTGTGGCTCTGAGGGCTTTAAAAGAAGAGTCCATGAGAGGTTCTCTCTCTGCTCTGCCATTCTGCCATGGGAGACCCCTGCTTTGCCGCCACGGAAGACCCTCACCAGATGTGTTCCCTGGACTTCAGACTTCCCAGCCTCCAGAACTATAAGCAACAAATTTCATTTACTTACAAATTATCCACTTGCCTTTCAGAAAAGGAAAAGGAGCCATAACTGAAATAACGTACAAAGGTGGCAAAGCTATTGAGTGGTGCAGGGAATTTGCCAGGTATTGTGTAAGATTTGAGGACAAAGACATGAACCAGAGATGGCTCTGGGACCTTAGAGTTTAGTGGGAGTGAAAGAGTGAAAGTGAGATTGAGAGTGGGAGTGAGAGAGCGGTATTGGGGTGGGGATGGGGGTGCAGAGAATAGAAGAGCATATGCTTGTGAATATGCATGAGCTTGCAGGATGTGCAAGTGGGGCTTGAATGTCGGTACATTGTCACAAAGTCTTCCCCACCCCTCAGTAGACTCCACCCCTGCCTTCTGTCTCCCGGAGCTGTGTCTAGCTGCACTCAGTGGTATCAGACAGAAGGACTCCATTTCCTCCAGGTGTCTGGGGCCCCTCCTCCCCTTCCTGACCCCCCTGCATTTATGTCCCACCATGTCACTCTCGGAGCCCTAGATCTCTGCATCCTCAACAGAGCAAATACAATGGATTCAGTCTCATCCCACCACCCTGCTCCCACACAGACTGAGCCCGAACTTAGTCCCACTGCTGTTCTTTTGAACCAGAGTCTCCCATCAATCGTCCTTCATCTCCAGCACAGTATGTCCTGTCTACTAGTAAGGGCCAAGCCAAGATGCATTCTCAAGTCAGTCTGCCTCTAAAGTACATGGGTTTGCTTCTAAGAAATGACAGTAAAGCGTTCATAGAAATCAAGCAAATTTTTAATTTCATCTTGCTGAATGCCTAGATAAACATTTTAGGCCTTACAAGAAGGATATTTTTGGAAGAGCTGAAAATCTCAGGTTAAGTTAAATGACTAACTGGCAATGTATATAACCTAGAATTTCAGCTTGCACTTGGGAGGAATTCAGCACTCCATTACTATTTACTGAAAAAGACTTCTTCAGAGTTCCATCTCTACCAGCTCTCTGCCCATGTATATTTCTAGTTCAACAGAACTAAATCACACACTTTTATGTATGATCAACTGTGTGAACGTACATAGGTCAAATGACTGCCTGAAGCCCTGAAATTAATTATGGTGATATCTCAAGTGCACTGTGCCAGTCATTGCGCCAATTGCTTTACAAGGATTAAATGATACCCAGAGGGCTTCTGAGAAAACTTGGTAAGGCAGAGCATACTTTTCAATGTACAACATTAAACAAGTCATTAAAAAACCAGAGAGCAAGGGAACAAGAGGGGTTAAAAATAAGATAGCTCAGAAGGCTAACATAGGCTTAAAATCACAAATGAAAATAGAAAAAGAAAGAGGAAAGTATTGAAATGGGAGCTAGAAAAGGCAAACAGAAGCAGTAGGAGACAGAAAATTTAATAAAATAAGAATTTTATTAAAATAAAATTTTAATAAAATAAAAATTCCAAATGTAGTATCAAGCATTTAAAAAAAACAAGGTAGAGCAAAATAAGTGTTTAGAATAAGGAAAAATTAGAAGTGAAGGATTAGTGAGACAAGAGATTGAACCATGACCATCAAAAGATAAAAAGGTGAGAGATTCTATTTAATCTAAGTTCTTAAATTTAAGAACCAACAGAACAAAGACACAAAGAAAGAAAAAGAAAAAAAGGTAAGCAGTGTACCAATTCCCACTCCCACCAGAAGTAGGTGAGAGGGTCCGCTCCCCTGAACTCTCACCAGCACTGAGCTATGTGTGCGTTTGTGTGCATGCGTGACCCTAATAGTCACAAGAATGCATGCCATTTCTATATTTCTCTAAGGTTTAATATCTTTCCTTCAATCTGTATATTGTATTTTTTAAATCACGTGTTTACATCTTTCAAATATTTTTGTATTGGGGTGTTCAACTTTCTTCTCATTGATACGTAGAACCTCTAATAAAAAGTTACAAATATAATTTTATTTTCATTACATGCAAATCTGGAAAGATATATACCAAAGTCCTATAGAGGTGCTGCTGAGTGTGTCAGTGTGTGTGTTTCTGTGTGTGCGAGTGTGTGTGGTGGTGGCAGGGTCAGCACAAGGAGGGGTAAGATTCTCTCTCTCTCTCTCTCGCCCTCTCTTTCTCTCTCTCTCGGTCAATGTATTTCCCATTTATACTGTGCATACATGTACACAACATATTTTAAAAATGAGCTATACAATATGTAGTTTTACCACCTGGTTTTCAACTAAATATACTGTGAACATTTTCTCTTCTACAATAGTTAAAGTAATTGCATATTTGGAGAAAACAATTTATTAAGCAATCTTGTTGGGGAAATTTAGATATAATTTTTTTTCCAAGGAGTCTTCATTCTCTTTACAATGCATTGAGGAAAAAAAGGGGAGTCCTTATCCTGCATAGCTTTTCATAGATATGGAAACTTGCTCTTCAATTTAGCTTGCTTCTCTACGCTCACCTAATCATCAATCAAGTAATCCATTTTTGTCTACCTGGCCTCCCTGGCACATATACAGACTTCCATTACTCCAGAATTCCTGTCTCTTCCCCTCCACTTCCTTCCCTTCAATGGGCTTTCTTTCCTTTTAAAAATACTGTCTTAATTGATTTTGATTAACTCTATTCAAAACTTTATCCTCAGTTCCACGTTAAAGTTAGCCTTTAATAATCTGAAGACAGACTTCAATTGTTTAAAATATTAATAAGAAGCCCTTGGTAGAGTTACATGTATCAAGGAACACAGTTGGGAAAAATGTAGAAATGGCTAATAGTTTGGAGAAAAAAACATAGTTTTATGCGGGGGTGGGGTAGAAGGAAAAAAATGGTAATTTAAAGAATTGCTAGGGATCATTAATGGAAATGTATTCGTTATTTTAAGGCAACTAAAAAAGGAGGCATAAGGAGGGGTAAGATTCTCTCTCTCTCTCTCTGTCTCTCTCTCTCTTACTCACTAAACTGTATTTTAAAATGTTGTCTCAATGTGTTTGTGTCACTTTTATAGTTAAAACCATTTCTATTCAATAAAACAAAAAAGAAAAAAAAAGGAACCTAATGAAATAAGGAATAAAGCTCTATAACAGTGGTTCTTACCCTTTTCTGTGTCATAGAATCCTTTGAAAATCTAGTGTATGGCATGGATCTGCTCTCCAGTAAAATCCTGCACACATGAATATAGTTCTGTATGCAGTTACAGGAGTTCACCAGTCCCCTGGGGACCGTGAACTTCTGCTAAGAATAATGGTCTCACAAGTGGTTCTTGGGGGTTATGCTGGTTTCTCAGAACAGTATGTGGAAATCAAATTCAAGTTCAATTCAACAGGCTTTTATGAGATGCTTAAAGAGTTGCCAGGCACCGTCTGGCATTGCTATGTTATACATGGAGACAATACAAAGATCAATATCATACGGTGTTTTCTTACAGTGTTAAAGTCTCTTGGGAGTGGCTGACTGTTTGGAAAAAAATTATATTGCACAGCAGAAGATGACGTGCTATAATGCTAGTACACAGGTACATAAAGCTGTTGCGAGAATATGAATTTCTATCACAGATATCGGAGAAAACTTCTAAGAGGAGATGCTATTTGAATCAGATCTTAAGTGAAGCTCAGGGTGCCAGCAAAAGGACATGCAGTGTGAAGGCGAAGACATTTTAAGTTGTGAGAACAGCATATGCATATGCAAAGGCAGGAAA